CAGACTTTGTCCAGGGACATCTCTACAGGCTGGCCTGGCACAGATACAATCCTGCCACTCGGGGTCTAGTTGCTTCCCTCCCAGTTCTGCCCCAAATGGGGCACGAGGTCCCTCCACTCTCACCCCTCCTCTCTGCCTCTGAGAAGTCCCTCTCCCAGCAGCCCACATCTCCCTCCATATTTGCCTCAGAATAACCCAGGTTATTAACAGCCAAAGCCTGAGGAAGCCTTTATCTGCTTTGAGCCTTTGTCCCATCCCTCCACCAAGGACACAGATCACGGACCACACTCCCTTGAAGAAAGAAAGAAGCAAAATCAGTACAAAACCAAAAAAGTATTGATGAATCATTCAAAATATAATGCCACTGTACTGTGAATTCAAAAGCATCCAACACATGCTGGGGAAGTTAGCACACATGAAAAGAGGCCACCACCTCACTGTCTTTCAAGCTCCACTTCAAAGATTGTGGTGGTTTCATTCCGGTCTTGTGTTAAACACAAATGGTCTGGAGCCAGAGTTGAAGTATCCTAGGGCACCAAGGGCTTTGATCTTCAGGACTTTACGGGAGCAGGAGTCTTTAGCTGCCCTGACAGCCTGATGTCCTCAGGCATTCCCACGAGCTACTTTGAGGAGGACCCCACACACAAATCGTCATGGGGAAATTAGATTATGGCAATTCAAAAGCGTTCCACTTTGAGGGTTGTAAAGCCAGAAGGAGTGAGTGTGTGTGGGTGTGTGTGGGTGTGTATGTGTGTATACACCAATTAGCCCTCAAAGACCCATGCATTTCTGATAGCCTTTTGCACTTCTCTCAGGGATTGGGTGAGGCTGGAATGTTCATGGGATCCTCTGTGCTATTTGCCATATATGACGCAGTGGCGGCTGCCCGCAGAGAGAGGGGGCTAACCAAGACCTTCACCCTGAGTAGCCCAGCAACTCCTGAAGTGATCAGGATGACTTGTGCGGATCAGTTTACTGACATGGTAAGGAGTGGGGGGCAGGGGGTGGGGTTCCTATTGTAATCACCCCTTGTGTGGACTTTCAGGTTCTTGGTATGAATTTGACACCCATGATGAAATTACAAGGCAGGTTAATCTTTTTCAATGAAAATTCTCATTTTGCTTCCACTTGCCACATCTTATGTGCTTCAAAGCAGCTGCCAAGTGAGTGAGCCTCTTTAAATTGTGGTTTAATTATTTCAGACCCAAAATAAAAGCAAACTCTCGGGCCAGTGTTAATAGCAAATGGACATGGTAGGTTGCTTCTTTAAACATTTTACCAGAATGCAGTTGATGTAGTATTAATATTTTGATTACCTCAATAACAAAATTATATTAACTAGATACTTGATCTGGTCTATTTTGCAGAAAGTATAAGCAAACTAATAAAAATAGTTTAAATGAATGTATCAAGTCACTGGGCACACCTTGATATGCCTTGTAATCTCACACTAATAGAATACAGTTGCATTTTCCAGCTACTAAAATATATCTAGAACTATCATCAGAGGGTATCCCTCTATTGAACTGCTTACTGAAGCCCCGTAAGTCTTCGGTATAAAATTGGATTACACTTTATGCCTTGGAAATTACAGAGCATCTGAGTAAGATGGAACTTATTCCAAACATAAGAAGTTTATGAGGATAAGGAGATTTATGACTCAAGGATTGAAACAAAAATTTAAATTATGTAATTTTAGCAAGAATAAAATGGCATTAACTTGCTCTTTCTTAAAAAACATAATTTGTCAGGCCGGGCGCGGTGGCTCACACCTGTAATCCTAGCACTGTGGGAGGCCGAGGCGGGCGGATTGTTTGAGCTCAGGAGTTCAAAACCAGCCTGAGAAAGAGCGAGACCCCGTCTCTACTAAAAATACAAAGAAATTAATTGGACAACTAAAAATATATAGAAAAAAATTAGCTGGGCATGGTGGCACATGCCTGTAGTGCCAGCTACTCGGGAGGCTGA